TGGCTGATTTGTAGTTTTGAAGCAATGTTTTATCATTTCTGTTTTAGAGCTTTTGAAAAAGAATGAGTTACCTAGCTGGGTTTTTCTTTTGTATCCCAACTCAGTATGAAATACAGAACTTGTCTTTAGCTCTATCTGAAATGAGTATTAGCCATTGGCTTGACAGTTCTTTGTTGCAGGTCTGTCTCCTCTTCCCTGTGTGGGACAATTATATGTGAGAACCAGAGAAGAAACACCTGAAACATTTCTTTCCAAGTTATAATTAGAAAATTAGTAACTTTGGATGCTTTACAGTCAAAATACAATATGTCTGAAATGATTTCAAAGGCACCTTTTGCCTTGATATTAATGGCTCTATGTGAGCAAATTCAGACGTGCACTGGAAAAGGCAAACTGTATGAATGTGCATTTCTTTTTGAAAAAGTGTACGAAAGGAGCCAAATAAAACTTATTTTCTACAAAATTATTTGAATTGTATGCAGTTTCTGAAGCTTTTTTATGTGCGCATGGCCTGTTCTACATCCAGGCTTGAGATGCCATACCATACCATGACCACTTAATTTCAACTTTGTCAGTATTGGATGATAATTTTTTTTTTTTTTAAATATCAGGGACAAGAAGGCTTGTGTTTTCCATAATCTTGTACTGTATCCAAATGACGTTCTATTACCAGTAGCCAAGAAGACTTCTGAAGCTGCTGCTTCTTTTGTGTGAGAGGAGAGGCTCCAACTTATTTTGTCTTCATTTTAAAAGATTGAATGTTACTGTCACATTTCATTGAAGTCATGTATTGCATTCTGGGGGAAGGAAAGAGCTCTCTAAATCTCCATAAATGTCTTTCTTGCAAGCCATATGTGTTTGAAGCACTGTTTTCATCTGTATAATAATTGTCAGTGAGAAGTATTGTTTATTCCCGTAATTGTGAAATGGGTATTATTGTTCACATACTTAATCAAATTTCTGAGCTAGCTGTTAATAATCTGCCCTCAGGTATATGATATGTCACTTCCACTCCCTTGTTGTTACATACAATGTGACTCCTGCATTTGCTTATCTTACGTGTCATTAAGATTTAAGGTAGCTTTATGAGGCTTATAGCTGCAAAGTTTCCAGTCTTTTCAAAGTGGTTGTCTTTTGGTCATTCTGGTTTTGGTGAGATGTATGTGTACCTTGAAGGGGGAGTATTGATATTATGTAAGTGAATAACTGGCTCCATAAGTCAACTCTTTAATACATCTGAGTAGGATGTCAAACCTTCGCTGAGTATAATGGAGATCCCTCCGGCTTGGTGTTGTCCCACTGCAGTTCAGCTTCAGCCTCCAAGTTTGTAGCTGATTTTAAATGAACGTGCCCTCAAACGGTTTTAATGGCACAGTTGAATGCCTGTGGTCTGTGAAATGTATTTGTGATTGTAGTTGCCTGCTAGGTGACGTAAACTGGAACAGATAAAGTGGACTTAAAATTGAAGGTAGAGGATAGTGTGGGAGAGTAAAACTAAGATGACAACTCTTATCTACAACAAACAAGGTTGAATGATCCTTTGTTTCTTTGGTCACAGGCTATGAACTAGATCTGGTATGATCCTCTGCCAAAGCATGAGGCACAGAGAGAACCAGGAAAATGAATGCAGAGCAGAAGACAGTCCACCCAGTAATTAGGAGCATGCTAGGTAGGAAGATGTCAGCAGAAGACAGTCCGCCCAGTAATTAGGAGCGTGCTGGGTAGGAAGATGTCAGAATGCACAACTGAAGGTTGGTTCATTTTCGATGTGAGTTGGAGGCTTCTTGGTCACCTAAGGAAAAATATCTACTGAGCACTGTCAAATAAACTGCAAAGAGGTATTGCTGTGCATTACTAGGAATCCCATTTTCATTTAAAGAAAGGCTGTTACTTTCTGTAAACATCTGCTGTTCTTTAAAGGTAACAGCAGGTGGCCTCCACTGTAGGGGTCTAGGATAGTAACAATATTTAAGTGACTGAAAGAAAACTTCCTGTAACTAGTGACAATATCCATCTGTGTTTGGTGCTCCTATCTTCTAGGGTGAACTGAACTAGTCTGGGGGGTGGGAAATTAAAAACAAAATTGAAACACTGTGATAAAGGTAAAGCAGAGCTTATAGCAACACATCTTTCCATGATTAAAAACAGGAATTTGGCCTACTTCCAAATGCAACAAAAAGAGTCAGGCCCAAGTGTAGAGGTCTTAATTTTCTGGCTCTCTTGCTCCTCTGTAGGCTTCAATATAATCTCTGAGTGATGATGCCTAGTCAATATGGTCAGGAAAAGATATATAACCTGTGGAGCTTTTGAAAGTTAGTATATACATGTATGAACTCTTAACAATCTGAGTGATCTTATAATTGAGTTAAGCTGAAAAATGCCTCTAGTTAAAAAAGACCAGACATTCTGGTCTGCTTTTTTCCTCCCAATACTTTTTCTAGACTTCTGCAAATTGTGGAACAGTAACAGAATCATAGAATCATTATGTTGGAAAAGACCTTGAAGCTCATCGAGTCTAACTATAAACCAAATGCTGCCAGATCCACCACTAAACCATGTCACTAAACACCACACCTGTGTGTCTTTTAAACACCTCCAGGGATAGTGACTCAACCACTTCCCTGGGCAGCCTGTTCCAATGCCTGACAACCCATTTGGTGAAGAAATTTTTCCTAATGTCCAGTCTAAACCTTCCCTTGCACAGCTTTGCTCTCGTCCTATCACTTGTTACTTGGGAGAAGAGACCAACCCCCACCTTGCTACAACCTCCTTTCAGGTAGTTGTAGAGAGCAATAAGGTCTCCCCTCGGCCTCCTCCAGGCTAAACAACCCCAGTTCCCTCAGCTGCTCCTCACAAGACCTGTTCTCCAGACCCCTCACCAGCTCCATTACCCTTCTCTGCACTATCTCCAGCACCTCAATGTCTTTCTTGTAGTGAGCAGCCCAAAACTGCACACAGGATTCGAGGTGCGGCCTCACCAGTGCTGAGTACACGGGCACGATCACTTCCCTATTCCTTCTGGCCACGCTGTTTCTGACACAGGCCAGGATGCTCTTGGCCTTCTTGGCCACCTGGGCACACTGCTCATGTTCAGCGGCCTGTTGACCAGCCCCCCCAGGTCAGACTGACAAGCCTTTAATTTTCCTGGTCCTCTTGTAGATGGCCCTTCTTGTAGATGGACATCACATTTGCTAACTTCCAGTCAACTGGGACCTCCCCAGTTAGCCAGGACTGCCGATAAATGATGGAAAGTGGCTTTGTGGGCCCTTGGCCATGGCACTTTGGCCAACTCTTTCAGTACCCTTGGGTGGATCCCATCCGGCCCCATAGACATGAGTGTGTCCGAGTGGTGTAGCAGGTCACTAACCATTTCCCCTTGGATTATGGGGGATTCATTCTGCTCCCCATCTCTGTGATCCAGCTCAGGGAGCTGGGTACCTACAGAACGACTGGTCTTACTATTAAAGACTAAGGCTAAAAGGCATTAGGTACCTCAGCCTCTTCCTCATTCTTTATCACTATGTTGCCCCCCACATCCAATAAAGGATGGAGATTCTCCTTAGCCCTCCTTTTGTCGCTAATGTATTTATAGAAATATTTTTTGTTGTCTTTTACAGCAGTAGCCAGACTAAGTTCTAGTTGGGCTTTGGCCCTTCTAATTTTCTCTCTAGATAACCTCATGACATCTTTGCAGTCCTCCTGAGTTGCCTGCCCCTTCTTCCAAAGGTCATAAACTCTTTTGTCTGAGTTCCAGGCAAACCTCTTGGTTCAGTCAGGCTGGTCTTCTTCCCCATTGGCTCGTCTTTTGGCACATGGGGATGGCCTGCTCCTGCACCTTCAAGATTTCCTTCTTGAAGAATGTCCAGCCTTCCCAAACTCCTTTGCCCTTCAGGACTGCCACTCAAGGGACTCATCAACCAGTCTCCTAAACAGGCCAAAGTCTGCCCTCTGGAAGCCCAAGGTGGCGATTCTGCTGATCCCTGCTCCTTAGTTCTCCGAGAATCAAGACATGTTTGGAAGATCTGTGCCACTGAAACAATTTTTGGAGGGAGGAGGACAGTTCAGCCATTTTGAGGAGATATTGACAAATGCTCTTGCTGGTAAAGGTAAGTGTGGCATTTTTCATAAATCCAAATACTAACTTTTTAAGGACACATAATTGTTAACTAAAACCTATAATATTTCTTACAGGTAAGTTTATTTACTGGTATGGAGTAGTCCACACTGATGCCTAAAATAAAACTGACACCTTTCTTAGACTGATGCAGAATATTTTTAAGCACCACCATTAGACTTTCTTACTAATTTAAAGCATTCTAATTCTAAATATATTGTGCTTAATAGAGTTTTGCTTAGGAGGCTGAAAGGGCTTCAGTTAACTACTTGTGCAGCTGGATACTTGTTCACAAAATACTGCTTGACATGATTACCTATTTCCAGCTCCAGTTGTGTATTTTATATGCATAAATATATGCTCTTAATATATGAATTAGGAAGCACTAGCTATTGGACTTCTTAAGAGTTACAGTCTTAGAAACTGAGGCAATCCTAGATTTCTTCTGCTGCTCCCAATACCGGGAGCCAACGTGGTTATAGGGAAGACAGTAATTCTCATTTGTCTTCCTGACACGCCTGGAAATGCTGCATGCAATGGAAACTCTTTTCCTACAGCATAGCAATGTCTGTGACAATGTAACTGGTATTGCACGTTTGTGAATGTGGTGATTGTATTTTTCCTTCGGCGTTATGGTTTTGCTCACAAAAAGGGTTGCAGCAGTAGCTCCAGCCTATTTTTAGAATTTCTAATTGTCGCTTCTCAACTTTGCTGTTACTTTAGAATACTTTTCTTCCAGAACATGGTTAAAGAGGGATGAAAGCGTTA